ATAATATTTATTTTTACTAAAATTATGATTCTATTAATAATAATAGGAAAGTTATTAATTATTTCAAGTGATTATTTAGAATATTTATTAATATTAGATATGAAGATATTGAATTTTTATTGAATTTTTGTTCTAAATTATTTAAGAAATTCATAACTGATAACATATTCTAATACTTTAGTATTAATAATTAAATCTATAGAAGTCTTGTCAATTTTAACTTTATATTAGGCTGAGATAATTTTAATTTTTTTGATAAATATTACTTTTTATTTTAATTTTTTCTGTAATTTCTTTCTTATTTCTTTTAATATTTGAATTTTTTATTTAGGTGATATCTTGACAAGTTAGATAATAATAATATTAGCTTTTTGAGATATCAAATCTTTGAGTATATTATAGATTTTTGCTCTCTTTACAAGAATAAAAAGATAAACTCTTTCTTTTTTTTATTTTTTTTCAGATTAGTCTTGTTTTTTTAGAAACTTCTAATAAGAGTTGGATAATTTTATTTTCTTTTTCATTTTCTTCTTCTTCTTTAATAATTCTTACATATTTTTTTTCTTTAGCAAGATAATTATGAATTACTAATAAAAAAAAACTAAATTGAATAAATAAATTACTTGATAAATTACTAGTAGATGCTTATAAAACTGCTATCAGATTCTGAATTTAAAAGTAATATTCAGATTTGAGAGTTATTAGATTGTTAATTATTATTTTAAATATTTTAATTTTGCTAAATATTATTATTTTATTTTGATTATTCTAATTTTAAGAAATATTTTGATTATTAAATTATAAATTTCCAGATTAAGAGATAGTTAGATATATATTACTAATATAGTATGCTCTTTTTTTTTATAATTATAATAGATAATATGAAATTTATCTCTTAATTAATTTTATTATTAATTATTATTATTATTCTAATTATATTTTCTATCAGATTCTATATTGTTATCTTTTTGATATAAATTCTGAGATAGGAATAAGTATTTAATCTAATATTATAAAAGCATGTGATAAAAGTAACTATATACTTATAATGATATTTAGAAGAGTTTTTAAAAGATTTATTAACAAAAATATAAATACTATTATTTATCTAAAGATAGATAATGATAGTATTCTTGTTATAACTAGCTAGAATATAGTCTAATTCCAAAATATAATTTTAAGATAAACATAATATTCAGTCTATTAACAAAGATAAAATAATAGATCTTAATCAAGAACTATCCTACAAGAGAGATTTCTTAGAATTCTCTTAAAACTATAATCTATTAAAATATAAGTTAAGAACTAAACTTATAGAATTCAAGCTAAACTAAATAACTAACTAATTAAACTATACTTATTACCAAATTTTACAGAACTGAACTATCTAAATTTACTAGCTAAGATATATTATTTTTATATATTTTAGAGATTATATAAATGATATTTTTATTATGATACTTATACTAGTTTTGCTATAATTTAAATACTACTTTAGCTAGTATTATAATATTAGTTTTATTGTAATAATATTATTATTTTTGCTATGATAGTTTTATTAACTTTGCTATAATAATTTATTATAATTATTGTACTTACAAAATCTTTTAAAAATATTTATAAATAATATTTTCTAAAGCTAATATCCAATAAGATATAAGTAATTATTCATCAAATTATATTATAATATGAAATAACTAATAAAATTAACTTAATATTCTACTAAAAGTTCATATCATAATAATATGATCTAATTTACTAGTCAGATCTTGCAAAATTTTAACAAGAATATTCTATTTACCAGTTGATTAAGCTTGAATTTGGTGAGAAATTTATTTAAAAAGATTTGAATTAGCTTCTTTAATATTTTTAATATTTTAATAATACTTTTTATAATATTTTTAGCATTTAAATTAACCTATTTTTGAATTTTAGCTTTGAAATTTTTCTTGAAAATTCAAATCTTATATTCTTCTGGATAAGTCTGTTCTGGATTTATTTTATTTTCAAGTTCTATAAATTAATTAATATATTTTTTTATAATTTCAGTTTGTTTTAAGAATTCTAATTTATTATTATTATATCTTACAAGATAAATAAAATTTAAAAATAAACTAATAAGTAAAATTATATTCATCATGATTATTATTAATTTAATTAATTAATTTAAGAGTAGTACTTATAGCTTGTTAATCAAATTAGATAGCAGCTAATTTCTTTAGATATTCTTTTACTATTTTAATTTTTCTTTTATTAGTAATTCTATTAGCTTTTGTAACTATTCAAAATTATATAATCACTTAATAGGATTCTAATTATTATTTCTAAATTTATAAATTAGAATAAGAATTTTCTCTGTTTTTGAATCTTCATGGATTAGATTAGCTTTATAAGAGCTTGAATTAGATTTTCTATTCTTTCTGCCATAATGAATTCTTTTTTTGATTATTAATTTTGAAGTTGGATTTCTTTAAATATAATTATTAATTTTTCAAAATTTTTAGATTCACTACTTTTATATTCTGAGAGTTTCAAAATTATCTATTTTTTCAAGAATCAAAAGAATATTATTAACTAAATAGATTTATTATTTAACAGTAATTTTTATGCCAAATATAAAAATATTTAGTAATTTTATAATTTTTTTTTAAAGTTAATTAGATATAAAATTTTATTATATTATATTATCAAATAGTTTTTGTGATAGTCTATTATAAGAAACTATATAATAGTTTTGAGTTCAGATAAGAAAATTTACAAATTTTCTATTTGAATTTTGATTAACAAGAAAATAATAAGAATAGTAGTTATATAGTTTGATATGAGATAAAAATTTCTAAGAATTTTCTTAATTATATTTACTAAGATATAGGTTAATTGAAAATCTAATAAAAGAGTAATATATACTTATAAATTAATTAATTATTTAGATAATAAATATTTCAAGAATAGTTAATTCTTAAAATAATAAATAAATAATAAATAAAAATAATAAAACAAATTAAAAGAGATCTTTGAGAGTTTGAGATTTATAAAAAGAGCACCAAATATTACAAACTATATTTATAAAAATAGATTTTATCAGAAATATAATCCATAATAAGTTTTAAGAATGAAAACTAAATTATTTATAAAAATAAAAAGAATTATAATTATTTTAAGATTTTTCAGTACTAATACTTACAAGTATTATATTAATACAAGATAAAAATAAAATAAAATAAAAGATAATTATGATTATGAAAACTAAACTAAAAGTAAATATCAAAAACTAAATAATAATTATTATAACTAAAAACAAAAAATTCAATATACTAAGTCTTCTAATAATATTTTTTCAATTATTAAACAAATAATAAGTATATATCAAAATAAAATAAAGTTTTTATACATGGAAAAACTTACAAGAATCTTTATAAATCAAATAAAATATACTTGACTTATTTAAAATAAAAAATATTTATTATCTATATTTTTCAGATAAAAAAAATATATAATTAACTAGAATATAATCTATTATAATAGAAGAGATTATTAAAAGCAGAATATCAAGACAAAAATCAAAAAAAAATTATAAGATAAGTATAACTTAAGTATTTTCAAAAATAATTAAATTATTATTATTTAAGTATGTTTATTTTATATTTAAAAGTAGAGATATTTATTTATTTTTAAGATTTTACAGATTCTATCTAAACTTTATTCATAATTTATTTGCTATTCTAATATATAATTACAAGTTTTGGAATAAAAAATTATAAATAAATTAATAAAATAATAAGATAAGATATATATGATAAGTTAAAAGATAATACAAATAATAAAATAATACTAAAATATTATAAAAATATTATTAAACTATAACTAAATTTATAATTAATATATTAATTAAATTATTTAAAATCATATATTTTCTAAAGATTAATTAATTAGCTAAAAATTTCAAGTTCAAAAAATTATGAAATTAAAGAAATTTATATTATTATGATAATAATAATATCAAAAATAAAGTTTATAAATTATAATTTAATATATATTTTTTTTAGATTTTTTCTAAAAAAATTATTCTAATTATAAAATTAATACAAAAATTTTTACTAATTAAAAAATAAAATTTAATTAATAAAAATTTTATATTGACTTTGTAATTAGAATAACTTTTTCAAAAAAATATATTAATTATAACTTATAAATTTTAATTTGATATAAAAATAAAAATTATTTCTTAATAAATTATAAAGTTTAATATAGAAAGAAAATGTCAATTTTTTATTATATTTTATTAATAAATTAATTTTTTAATTTCATAATTATAAAAGTTATTTATATAAAAAATATTATTTTAAAAAATCAAAAATTAAATATAATTCAGTTTTTAATTAAAGTATTAATTATAATAAATTTTTAATATTCTAATTTATAATATTTGTAATTATTATATTAATTATTATTATAATACCTAATATTTAAAGTTATTAAATATTTGTATTTTATAAATTTCTTAATTAAGAGATAATTTATGGATATAATTAAAAAAGATTATTTTATAATATTTATAATATTTATAAAATGTAATTTTATTCAATCAGCTATTGTCCAATCAAAAACTTCGAAGGAAAAATTAGTAAATGCTTCCAAAATTGGATAAATATAAATATAGTCGTGACTCAGCTGCACGTGTTAATATGCAAAATTTGGTGACGTCACAACGAATTTCCGACTACCTTTCCCAAAATTTTAAATTTCGCTGATTTCACTGATTTCACGGATTTCACGAAACAGCAATAAACGACTATTCAGAATTTTCAGAAACTGATTTTTTCGCTTACTACTACTACTGCTGAAGCTTTTCACTGAACTTTCACATTTATTGTAGTAAGAGACTCAGCAGTGGTTTATAGCTCTATTAATCCTCTATACAAAATATATACACATTTATGTATTACCTTCATTACCCTTTTCTCCTTTTATAAAAATTCTATAACGTAGTTACGAATAAAATGTCAGCGACACTACTCGATTGTGATATTTATGCGTCAAGACTTTCTGATGTGAAATTGGGTATCTTACAGTTCACAGTTTGGCAATTTGGTCACTGCATGCAAAACAACTTTTATAACCATTCACGTTGATTATGCGTGTTATTTCTGAATTATGTAGAGGCCCGGTTAAAACTGAATATAGCTATGGACTTGCGAGACTCGGTAGAAGTCTTTCAGAATGCTGAATATCCGAGATTTTTACAAGTAATGATGCCAGTATTCCGGAAAATATTAAATGAAACACAGCCAGTATTTGTTACTAATGATAATAATCACTGGATCCAAGTTTGTATTATGTGGGACTGACTGACTTTGAATAAAAATGTCTGGGATCGAGTTAATGAGCACTAATAATAATTTCAATTTTTTAGAAATTACGTAATGTGGTTCTAGAGATATTGCACCGCTTGCCTTTAAATGACGCATTAAAACCATACGCACTTGACTTGCTGAAATTGGTTATGCAACTATTAAGGACTGAAAACGAGGAAAACGCAGTGATATGTCTTAAAATAATAATAGATTTGCATAAGTATTACAAGTTAATTCTCGAAGATCAAGTTCAACCTTTTTTGGATATTGTTCAAGAAATGTATCAAAATATGAAGCAAACTGTGCACGAAGTTTTCGACACACCACAAGTGAGTAATAATAACATATTAGTTTGAGTATTTGAAATGCGTGACATAGATCATCTTTAATAATACAATCTCTGGTAATATATAGCCTTATAATGTTCCTCAACATGTACCACAATCACCACGTCCAACTTCTCCCGCTTATGATAATGCATCAGAAAGTACGCCAGTTAAAACACTAGCTAAAAGCCTATACAGCTTTAAAGTTCTCACAGAATGTCCTATAATTGTTGTGTTGCTGTTTCAATCCCATCGACAATTCGTAAACAGAAATATCATAAAAATCGTTCCGTTAATTATTGAGGTGAGAATCTCGTTATTTGTATGTCGTTGACTGATTTAGGATATGCAGTTAAACTTTAACGAATAATATGAGTTCTAAAATTATTAATGGATTTGCCACATATATAATGAATATAGACCTTGGACTTACAAGCCGCACCGCAAGCTGAAGCTCACGCGGCTGCAAGGGCTGCAAATGATATATTTGTTGGGGTGGCACCAGGGATTCGAGATCGTGCAAAATACACAGAATTTATAGTTGCTCAAGTAAAGGTGCGTATTTTCTCAGTAGTTAAATTAAATGGATCATTTATGTTTTTAGATTAACCATGTCATAATAATGATGTGCATTTTATAGACAATGTCATTTTTGGCATATGTACTGCGAGCGTATACGGATGCATTAAAAAAATATCAAGAAATGATTCCTGATTTCGTGATTCGACTACTACAAGATTGTCCACCAGAAGCGTCTGCTACTCGAAAGGTATACTTACTGTTCAAAAATTTAATAGCAGTTTTGCTGATTACGTGCTAAGCATTGAAATGATAATCTAAACAGGAATTGCTGGTTGCAACGCGTCATATTTTATCCACTGAATTTCGAAATGCTTTTGTTAGTAAAATTGATATTCTCCTTAAGGAAAAGGTTTTGGTGGGCACCGGTATAACATCTTACGAGACTCTTAGGTATGTCGTTAATCTGTATATAATCAATTTTTATTATATTTACTGATGTTAACAATACGTTGGATACTCTTAACAGGCCTTTGGCATATAGTATGTTAGCTGATCTCGTACATCATGTGAGAAATGAGCTCACAGTAGAACAACTACATCAAACTATCTATATATATTCTCTTAACCTGCATGACCCAACACTTAATCCTACCATTCAGACTATGTGTTCAAAATTACTTTTGCACATGATTGAATGCAGTAACAATATTAATGATACAACGCAAAGTATGGAAATTATTAAATATTTATTTTAACTTTTTATGTATAACCATTTCTTAATGAAATATTTAATCAACAATTCAACAATAGAGCGAGATTTACTAGTAAAAATTTTTGACACATTTTGTCGGAAATTTCATGCGCTTAATTACATATTTCCGGATCTAATACGCCAACTTCAGAAGAGAAAGAATCCGAATCTCCCTCCCGGTAAAAAATGGGAAGAATTCGATTTCGAACAATCTCGTCCTATTGCGACTTCTTTGCCTAATCAGGATCATCAGTCTCATGATCCCCTCAACGGTATATATATAAACTTTCGAGAACACGCGTTGTTTATATCATTACGCTAATTTTACTTCCATATTTTTTGCATTTAGAGCGACGACTTTTGTTGAAAAATCTTGTTTTTGGATTAAAAAACATTATGTCGACTGGGTTAAAAAGCTGCAATCCGGAACCACCCCTAAATGAAAACCAACCAACTTGGAATTCAGTGGTTCGTGGATTTTCGCATGATGAAGTCGTGATCCTTTTGACTCTATTTCGTGAGGGTATACGTGCTTTTGATCTCTATACAATTGACATTGATGGTAATAGTATCATCAAAGCTCCCGAAAAAAATTCAATTCCAGATGCATTTAATAGAATGGGTCCTCAATCAAAAGCCGAAAAAGAAGTTTTGGAAGGATTTGCTCATATTTTCGTTAATATTGATCCTGCGATTTTCCAAGAAATCTTTGGATCTCAAATGAATTACTTTTTTGAGCATACGTTAAAAAACACTTCACTTCTTCAAATACCACAACTACTTCTGGGGACTGAGTCTACTTCAGAAAATTTTGCCGGAATTCTTTTCCGTTTCTTGGTGGATCGACTGGATAGATTGGGTGGACCTGATCCTGTTTACGCGTCCGTCCTGCTTCGATTATTCAAACTGGCATTTATGGCTGTTACTTATTTTCCTACTGTCAATGAAATGGTTCTTCATCCTCATCTTGCAAAGATAATTATGTCATCGATGAAGTTGTCAACAAAAGCTAAAGAACCGAAGAATTATTTTCTCTTATTACGAGCACTTTTTAGGAGTATTGCAGGAGGACGATTCGAGAATTTATATAAAGAAGTCTTACCTTTGTTGCAAGTTTTATTAGAAGGACTCAATTCTCTCTTGACTTTGACTCACAAACCACAAATGAGGGACTTATTTGTCGAACTTTGTCTCACTGTGCCTGTGAGATTGAGCGTTCTTTTACCATACCTCAGTTATTTAATGAAGCCGCTAGTTCTCGCTTTACAAGCAGGTCCGGAACTTGTTACTCAAGGCCTTCGAACTCTGGAACTGTGCATCGATAATCTTACGCCTGAATTTTTGGACCCACTCATGGCGCCTGTTATTAATGATTTAATGCTTGCATTGTGGAAACATCTTAAACCATCACCATACAATACGAGTCACAGCATATCAGCCACAAGAATATTGGGTAAATTAGGAGGTCGTAATCGCCGTCTGTTAAAAGATCCACCAAAACTTTCGTTTACAACACCACCTGGAAATGGATTTGATTTACAAATATTTTTTGATTCGAACTCTGCACCACAAAAGTTGCCGTTGGATGAATGCCTTACACTCTCAGCAAAAGCTTTAGAAGACCCAAATGTTACCTTATATTATAAAAAGCAAGCTTTCAAATTCTTAGTGTCAAGCATTCCTCTGTTGTTTGATTTGGATCCAGGATCTTCTGATTTGGCAAAATTAATTGCAACTCGAGTTCAAAAACGATTACTTCATAATGATGATAATGAATCGACAACAATAGTAAAAATGGAAATTGACGAACAAGATGAGTCAATTCCTGCACGGACGACAATAACAGATCTTCCGCCAAATAAGAAAAGACAAGAAGGGCATAAACTTTCATTAAGACGTAAAGCAGTGCAAGAAGAAAGAATCCAATTATTCCTCTGTGCGCTCTTCACCGCAGCATCTCTCCCTGATTTAAAAGATGAAGCTTGGCCTTGGTTAGAGAATGTCTGCCGTCATATTGCGTTACTTGAAGTTGGAGATGCTGTGAATCGTAATTTACGCGAGAAAAAGTTCACTTTTGACGAAAACAGTAGTACTTTTTATTTGGAGACAAAAGTTATGGTGGAGTCATTGGTAACAATAATGGCAAGTGATGATCCAGAAATACGTAAAGTTGCAGAATTCTCATTGAAATTAATTTACGATATTTGTTTAATGATTATTGGATCAAAAGACGCGTTGAGTGTGTTTCCTCTATTTCATGTTCTCGCATCTCGGTTTTGTTCTTGTTGCTATAAGCAAGAATGGTATCGTAAAAGCGGTGGTTGCTTTGGAATATCGCTATTTTGCTCACAACTTGATATGGGTACAAAATGGATGTTAGATCATGAATTAGAATTTGTCAGATCATTATTTTTTATAATGAAAGACACCTCATCAGAATTTTCCACAGGAAATATCGTAGATGCAACTCAGACAGTGCTGCGCGTAATAGAAGTGTGTAGCCGACCTAATGAAAAAGGTGAAATACGAGAAAAGGATAACAAATTCAATAAGCTTGTTCTTTTGCTGGTTGCTGAATTATCAAATTCAAATAATGCTGTCAGGGAATGTGCACAATCAGCATTTAAATTATTGGCGGAATTAACTGCATGTGAAATAACAGACATTTTAACGCCAGTACGTGATTCTCTATTGAGTCCAATTTTTGGGAAACCACTTAAAGCGCTTCCTCCCCCAATGCAAATTGGATATATTGATGCAATAACATATGCACTGACGTTGCGGCCTTCCTTATTAGAATCTAGTGATGAACTAAGTCGACTTTTAAATGAATCCTTACAATTGGCAGATTCTGAGGAACAAATAGCTGCTGCTCGACCAACAAGCTACAAGAATGCAGCATCTGTTACAAATCTTCGTGTTGTGTGCATAAAACTTTTAACCGCAGCTATGGCATGTCCGGACTTTCTTACTCCGCGACAAGGACCAATAAGAGCCCGTATAATTGGGGTGTTTTTCAAATCTTTATATTCACGAATACCGGAAATTGTGGAGGTTTCCAATAAAGGATTAGCATCAGTACTTCATCAACAAAAACTGCAAAAAGATCTTCTTCAAGCTGGCCTTCGTCCTATCTTAGTCAATCTTTCTGATCATAAGAAATTGACTGTCGCTGGTCTAGAAGGGTTAGCTAGACTTCTGGAGCTTCTCACAAACTATTTTAAAGTAGAAATCGGCAAAAAATTACTTGACCATCTAATACCATGGGCTGATCCGAAAACATTGCAAGATGCCTCTAATAAACCATTAATGGAAATAGAAGCGATCAAGATTATTGTATCTATATTAGCCGTATTTCATTTATTACCACCTGCAGCAAATGTATTTATGGATAATTTAATCACGACCGTACTCGACTTAGAAGATAAATTACGCCGCTCCACAGAAAGCCCATTTCGATTACCACTTATAAAATTTCTTAATCGATATGCTGGCGAAGCGATCGAGTATTTCTATAAACATATTGAAGATCAAAAATATACAAATTTCTTTGTGGACTTGCTTGGAATTGAAGAATCAACCAAACTTCGAGAAGAAATCATGAATGATCCACAGAAGCTATTAGCAAAAACCGCACATCTTGGCGACTCCCAAGCACACTTTAAACGAATTCTAATTATAAGAAAAATTGCATATTACAATCCAGAATGGTTGGTGAATGAAGATATTATCAAAGAGATTCGAGAAGCATGGCTCGAGTCGTGGAAAACTAATCAGCATCGTAGAGATGACGCAATGAGTATAAACGTGACCGAATTACAAAACTATCAGAATATTATTGAAACAGGGTTGGCTTATATGAGGGCAAATCCTGACGATGTCGATTTGATGTTTGAATTTGTTGCAATATTTACACGTAAAAATGTGATTGATTATCACCCACTACGACAATTCTATTATGAAGAAGTTGCTATGGGATACCCGATTGAACGAAAAAGAGCAGTCATTGAAAAATTTGTGAAATTGTTTGATGATCCTCATAAAAATAACGCGCGTATTAAAACAGCGGCGGCAAGGATGATTATAAACCCATTGCTTATGTATGCTTTTGCTCAGGGGCCTCCAGAGTACAATAAAATCATCGATATTCATATGATTGATAAAATGCATAAAAGTATTTGGCAGACACAAGGATTAGGACCGGAAGACATTGATGATCCTTTGCGTATTGAATTGTTTCAGATGACTACGCTTTTGGTTCAATATGTTCCACATCTTATTGAACATGTTAAACGAGATCTGATTCTTTTTGGATGGAAGTCGCTAAATCTTGAAGATGTTACTACAAAGCAGGCAGCATATGTTCTTTGCGCCAGATTTATAGCAGCTTTTGAATTTCCAGTCAAACTTATACATAATGCTTACATGTCCCTACTCAGAGCACATCAGCTTGAAGCTCGCACATTAGTCAAGCAAGCATTGGATATTTTCACGCCAGTTCTTCCACGTAGGATGGAAGAGGCGGAAAAACAAGCTCATGCAAATCAACAACAATCCATTCAGGCATCTCAATCTTCTCAGCGCTCACAGCATATTCATTTACCACCTGGCAGAGCAAAATCATCTGTGGAACAGACTCAAAAAATACAATCTCCACCTTCTTGGACGACTTGGACTAAAAAAGTGCTTTCTGAAGACACATATAGCGTATCTCAATTGGTGAATGTTTACCAGTTGCTAGTTCGACATCCAGATTTATTCTATGAGAACAGACAACAATTCTTACCACAAATAATAAACACTTTAACGAGACTTGGACTCATCCAAAATGCTACTAGTGAAACACGCTCGTTGACAATTGATTTATCCGAGTTAATATTAAGATGGGAAAAACGTCGTATATCTGACTTACGTAAACGACAAGAGGCTAGTGCAACTTCTACGCCTGCTGCATCCGCTAGTAGTCCAGGAAAAAGACGAATGGATTTAGAAGCTGAATCTCCCCCGAAGAAAAGACAACAGATTGAACACAGTGGTGAATTACGTTTAACTCCTGTGGAGGTTTCTTCAAGTGAAAACTACACGCCAAATCTTACTCTTCGGGAAAATGTGATAAGTTATCTCGTCCGTTTTGTTTGCACAACTAATGAGGCTATTAATAAATCACCAGGTGGATTACCATATCGAGCACTGCAACTAGTTAAAGAATTTTTACAACCCGAATTTTGGCCTGAAGTGAATGTTAAGCTTCAATTTTTTGAAAGGACTTTGATGCATGAAATTAACATCAATACGCAGGATAGTATTTGCAATGGTTTGGATGTCTTGAACGTGATTTTAGATCGGAAACCTGCAGAATGGTGTCTTGCCAATATCAGTCATTTACAAAAATTATTAGAAAAAAGCATTCGTAGCAATTTTAATCGCATTCAACAAAGTCTCAATCCAGTTTTGGTTCACATATTTAATTCTTTTCCGAGTTCTGAACTTACATCCAATGAGGATACTGATATCGCAAACTTTACTTCAATCGTACATGCAACAATTGAGGAAGGATTGAATAGTATGGACAATTTATATTTATATGCTGCATTAATGCTATTAAATGCATTAAAAAGTAAGAATCCGGAAAATATCGATATTTTTCTTCCTGGAGTCCTTAATGTCTTAAGTAAACTTGTAAAGGAGCATCTTAATATATTACCTCAGTCTGCCTCTACAAATAACAATAATAACAACACACACAACAGCAATCCAGATCTTGTTAAAAATCTTATTATGGCACTTCAGATAATGAATTCGCGAATAACACATCTTAATGAACATCGTTATAATTTCATACAAATCCTATGTCAATTATTAGATAAAACAAAGGACATTGAACTTGCGCGTTCTATATTCGAGATGGTCAAACTTTGGGTGATGAATAATAAAAGAGATCTGATTCCTACAATGAAAGAAAAAGCGAAAATATTGAACAAGATGCTAAGTTTCGAATCGATCGGTGATAAGAGTCTTTTAGAGGATTATTTGAATCTTGTTATTAATATATATAGCGACCCAGGATTTATGCGAACTGATCTAACTGTTAAATTGGAGCAAGCTTTCCTGCTAGGAACACGATATGAGAATCCTCAAATTCGAAACCGATTCATGAAACTTTTGGATCAAAGTATTGCGAATCGTTTGAATAATCGACTCCGATATATAATTGAAATACAGGATTGGAAATCAGTTGTTTCTTATTTTTGGTTGCATCAAGCGGTGGATATTTTACTTGGCGCGATTTCCCGAAACAAGCCGATTCTTCCTCCCGCTTATGGTTTGCGTACAAAATCCTTATCGAACTTGTTTAGCAATTATATAGAAGATTCATCTTCGGACTCGTTCATTGTAACCACTGAACTCGAAGATTGCTTACAAAAACATCGTCAATTCCTGATAGAAAATTCGAAATTAACAGTGGCTGATTTATTAATTCCGTTGAAACAAATTCATCATTTGAGTGATCAAGTTACTTATCAATTTTGGGTTGATTTGTTTCCCGTGTGTTGGTCATCTATATCCCAAAAGGATAGACAGAGACTACATAAAAACTTCATAGCTTTTCTTTCTAAAGAATATCATAATTCGCAAGCTGAATATAGACCTAATTGCATCCAGGCAATCTTGGAAGGGATTGCACGTTGCTCTCATCAAATAAAATTGCCACCATATTTGATCATGTACCTGGGAAAGACTCATGGGGCGTGGCATATAGCGCTTGAAATACTACAGCAATATACACTTAATACGCAAAAAGACGACGATGAATTCAAAGAAAAAACATTGGATGCACTGGCTGATCTTTATTCAAGTTTATCGGAAGACGATATGGCCGCAGGTTTATGGCGTCGACGTTCCCAAAGACTTGAAACAAATACTGCTCTTTCCCTTGAGCAATGTGGCATGTGGGTAGATGCTCAACTTTTATATGAAAACGCACAACTTAAAGGTCGTTCGGCTGCTATTTCATTTACAGAACCGGAATATTTATTGTGGGAAGATCACTGGCTCGATTGCTCAAAAAAGTTGCAACAATGGGAAGTTCTTACTGATTTCGCTAAGAATGAAGAAAACACGGAACTCTTGCTTGAATGTGCTTGGCGTCTCTCTGATTGGACCGAAGAACGTGATCTTCTCGATCAAGCCATCAATTCATTATCCGATAAACTAACCCCAAGAAATAAAGTATTCGAAGCTTTTATGTCGCTAGTCAAATCACAACAAACTAATGATTTTACTGAATTTAAGAGAATTGCTGATGAATCACTTCAACTGTCTTTGCGAAAGTGGCATTCACTCCCGGAAGTTGTGAGTCAATGTCATATTCCAATCTTACAAATTTTTCAACAATTTGTTGAATTGGAAGAAGCGACCAAGATGTGCACAGGATTAAATAATCTGGAAGGTACTCCGAGCGCAGATTCCAAATCGCAAGAACTAAAAAGCGTCTTGCAAAGCTGGCGTGAGCGTCTTCCTAATTCATGGGATGATATCAATATATGGAGTGACCTTGTTGCATGGCGAAGACATATTTTCCGAATGATCAATAACGCTTTTCAGCCTTTCCAAAGGCTTCCTCCTGGAAACGCAATTTCCAATATAAATTTTGCTTTTCGTGGGCATCATGAAACAGCATGGATTATAAATCGATTTGCTCATGTCGCGCGAAAACATCATCTTTCTGAAGTATGCGTGACATTTTTACAACATATATATTCGTTGCCAAATATCGAAATTCAAGAGGCATTCTTAAAACTGAGAGAGCAAGCGAAATGCCATTATCAGAATCCTGGCGAATTGACAAACGCTTTAGATGTGATCAACAATACCAACCTTAATTACTTTGGGCCGCAACAAAAAGCAGAATTTCATACTCTAAAAGGAATGGTTATGGCTAAGATGGGTCGAGATCACGATTCAGATGCGAGTTTCGCCACGGCTGTGCAAGTAGAAATGAGACTTCCCAAAGCTTGGGCAGAGTGGGGACGTTATTATGATCGCAAGTTTAAAGCAAACTCTTCTAATATAATTTTGGCGGCTAATGCATTAAGCTGTTATTTACAAGCTGCTGGTCTCTATAACAATCATAAAAGCCGAAAATTGCTTGTACGCATTTTATGGCTTTTATCTTTGGATGATACGCCAGAAGGGCATATTGCCTCAGTATTTGAGAGTTATATGACTAAAGGTGAAGTTCCGACATGGTATTGGGTAACTTTCATTCCACAGCTAATAGTTGGATTAGTGTATAAAGAAGCAAGATACGCACGAAATATATTGACAAAGATCGCAAAGCAGCATCCTCAGGTAATAAATTGTAACTAAGATAATTTTAATTCTAATTACTAATCGAATAATATTTATAGGCATTATATTTCCAACTTCGAACTGCCAGAGAAGATTATATGTATGCCAAAAAACAAGCAATAGCTGCTGCACAAGCACGTGCAGCCCAACAAGCATCATTATCCGTCCCAGGAACACCAGGAACTCCTTCGACTGCTACCCCAAGTACCCCAACAGCACCCAATGAAGGATATTTGTTGTCACAAACTCCTCAAATGGCCAATGGCATAATCGCGAATGGAGCTGCACAACGACTTGCAACTCCCAGTCAAGGGCAAGGCAGCCCTGCTCAACCTGCTCAAAATCAATTGAGTCCTGGCCAAAGACCATCATATGTTGGTATGAACCAACAAAGTCCTATGACACCACAACAACCTCAAAGTCCCGCTATTCAGCCTAGTAATGGAATAAACACGACACTTCTCAGTGGATCACCCTCAAATAGCCTTACTATGCAAAACATCCAAGCATTGAATGGAGTGCCTAATACAATGTCTCCAAACTTGCAAGGAACATCTCCCAGCAATATATCAAATCATATGTCACCTTCAACTCCAAATGGTGCCGATACAAATAGACCAATGACACCTTTAGGGTTAAATAACAGCAACATGTCTAATCAAAATACTACACCTATTGTTGCGCAGCATCAGAAACAACCATGGGAACATGTCGAAGATATCATGTCAATTCTTAAAACAACCTTCCCTTTGCTATCATTATCAATAGAAACTATGGTAGATCAAATTCAAACGCGTTTAAAACCAACATCCGATGAAGATATTTACAGATTGATTGTTGCTTTATTGAATGACGGGGTTCAGGTTGCTTTGTTATTATCTATTTGTATTTTGAATTTGTTCGATTTTAAATATTATATATTAAATTTAGTGGTGTTGTTTTTTATAATTTTCTTTAGCAAATAAACGCTCGTTTGAGTAATTCGCATGATGACGGTCTATTGAATCGACCAACGGAGGCAAATATCCGACGATTTGCTGATAACCTTTATCAGGGCCCAATTAAAGTTAGTTAATTTTTATCATTTATTCATTATCAATTCGGACTTCAATAATTATATTTTAACTATCATCAGGTTGCTTTTGAGGAAGACTTTATACAGTCGAAACCAAACTTATATCAATATGTGGAAAAACTAAGAAAATGGAGGGATCGTTTCGAGATTTTACTGGACAGCAAACCACGCAAACAACATTTGGAACATTTTAGCACATATCTTGTTGAATTTCAACATCAAAAATTCTGCGAAATTGAAATTCCTGGACAATATTTACTAGTGAATATCATTATAATTATTATATTTTCCTTCGCTGAATGCTTATAATTTTCTTGCATGCTAAATATAATTTTTTTATTATTTTAGCATAGAGATTTTCAAACTACAGAATTCATTCGTATAGACCGATTCTTGCCTGAAATTAATATTATTCGATCTCATGGATTCTGTTATCGGCGGTTAACAATTCGTGGACACGATGGAAGTCTTCATTCTTTCGCTGTTCAGCAACCAGCTGCGAGACTTAGTAGACGTGAGGAGCGTATAATGCAATTCTTTAGAATGCTAAACAGGTATTATTTTTACCAGTATTTTTCAATTAATTATATTTTTTATGAGATTTAAACTTTCCGATCATTTAAATTATACAAAATTTTAGTGTGCTGGAACGTCGAATAGAAACTCGAAAGCGCAATTTATACTTCCATCTTCCAATAATTGTTCCACTTGCTCCTCAAATAAGACTCGTGCAAGATGATCCTTCCTATTCTTCACTGCAAGATATTTTCGAAGATCACTGCGACACCACTGGTATGAGTAAGGATGATCCTGTGAAATATTATACAAGCAAGATGCGATCGAATCTAGATTCTATAAGAGGGGTAAGTTTGACTTTGATTATAAAATATTGAATGAAGTATTAAACTAATTTTTTTTTATTTTAGCGAAATGATATCATAGCGAAGGTTTGCTCATTAATTAATTCGATAATGAAAATCTTTGAATGAATTATTAAGCCAAATTTTCGTAAATTTTAGCGAAATATTTTGACAAATCTAAGAGTTGAGATTGCAGAAGAGATTGCAGCAAAAATGATACCAAATGATGTCATAACGAAGGTTTGCTCATTAATTAATTCGATAAAATGGTGAAATTTATGCATTCAAAAACTTATTTTATACTAAATCAATAAATAGTACATGTCAAAATCAATGAAATCTCACATCGATTTATGGACATTCAGAAAGCACTTTACCACCCAAATGGCAGGAATAGCATTCATGTCATATATCTTATGCATTGGCCAACGACATCCGTACAAGATGATAATATCGAAAAATACAGGAAATGTTTGGGCTACGGAACTTCTTCCAAGTACCGTTATTTTAAATAATTATTTTCTGCGAATTCGATTGTTTTTAGATAATTAATTTATCTTTGCTAATTTTTTTGTAGCATTTTCGTCCAATGCACCATTCTTTTTGAATGGCGAATCGGTGCCATTCAGATTTACGCGTGGTATACAACATTTTATGACGCCTATTGGAATCGAAGGTGTTTTTATTGGGTCTCTCATGTCCATCGCGCAATGTCTCACTGAACCAGAAGTACGTTGTTTGTCATTTTATATCTTAGGCTATGTTTTTTTTAATTTATAATAATAATGTCTAATTGATTTGATAATGATTTTTAGTTTGATTTAGAGCAGCATTTGAGTGTATTGGTAAGAGACGAACTTCTCACGTGGCATTACGTAAGCAAGAAACCTGTAACTGAACCACAATTAAGACAGAAAGTTGCACAAAATGTTGAAAGTATAGTAAAGAGAGCCGAAACTCTGGCGTGCAAAGAGGAGCGTGATAAGGTAAGTTAAAATTTTGACGAAACATATTATTACTATAGTTATTAACAAATTATTTAATTATTTATTTACGCGTTCATAGCGAATGCCAGTATTTCAACCTTTACTTGAAATAGTAGCAAGTGCAAGCAATTTGCAAAATTTGGCGTCTATGGACGTTACTTGGATGCAGTGGCTGTAAAAATATCTTTTTGTAAATAGTAATAAAATTTATATAGAAAAATATTCACCATCATAGTAATTATAATCATTCATATATGTATTTTATTCATACTAATAATATAATATATACAGTAATTAGCATAATTATGAAATCACTTGAAGAATTTTAAATAAAATTTTAATTTTTCAAACATAACTTTTGATTTTATTCTTTTTTTATATTATTTTTAAGTTTGTTTATTAAATTATAATAAATTTTCATTGTGCAATAAAAAAAATATAGTTAAAATTATTTTTTTGCATGGAAATATATAGTTGATGACAAAAAACTTAATTTTTTAGTTTTTGTAAGATTATTTTGTTAATAGTTATAAACAAGATAAAATATGATATGAATAAGTTTTAATTTTATAACTTATGAT